CGTCCGCAGCGCGGGCGCCCTGGACGAGCCCTGCAAGCCCGGGGTGTCTCCCCAGCTACGGCCTCTTCCCCCCAGCCGGCTGACTTGGCAAACGAGCAACAAACCGCTGGTCCTCACTCGCGTGTTTTTCCCTCTCCTGCCTTCTGCGGCTCCACAACGCGGCGCCTCCCCTGCAGGGAGCTGCTGCACGCAGCGCAGCGCTGTGCCAGGTGTCGGACAGAGCCCACCCGCCGCTGGAGTGCTTTGCTGCTACAGCTCCTTACCTCTGAGTCACCTGCCTGGACCATATTAGCTTGAATCAAGTTTAAATCATTTCCTCTCTTTGCCTGGTTACAGCTCCTATTTACAAGTCCACTTTAAGCCATCCTCCCATAGCCTTTCCACTCCTGACATTTTTGCCCGTTCTCTGGTACTGCTGATCTTACTGCTCTTACACTGAGAACAGAGTCCATGAAACAGTGGCCTTCTCTTACCACTTCTCCCTCCCTTACACCTTCTTTTACAAGAAGTCGGCTGGCTAATTAGAACTAGATTGAACAGTAACTGAAGAAAGATCCTCTTATGTATTTAAAGAGAAAATAGTTTCAAAAGTCTGTATGCTCTCATTAAGATTAGCTTTGCCTTTCCTTCCGTAGGGAGTAGTACTTACTCATCGCATGTTCTGCCTCGTTCCCTTGTAAGCTCTTAGCACAGCATCAAGGGTTGTCTCAGAGACTGATCTTGATTCCTTCTGGAAGCTGTCACTGCTATTTACCTGTATCTCAGCGGGTAAACACATAAAGTGGTTATTAGAAATGAGCAACTTAGTCCACCTTATTTCAAGACAGGAGCAAAAATCATGTTCTCAACATACACAGTCTGTCTTGGATTCTTATAAAGTATGTCAATAACAGGGGCATGCCCAAACCCAGAAACCCACCTCGCTCTTATGCCAGGTCTACTTTTTAAACTTACACCAGTATAGGTATTTCAGTTGGGAATATGATTTAACAAGGGAGTTGTTTTGCTTTCGAACGGTTTTTACATACACTAACTCAGCAAGGGGGGGAAGAGTTTTAGTGATCTCAACTTGTGCACCATGGAGAGGTGACACAGGCATATTAAGCCATTTCCACAGTCAATAACCTGTAACCAGAGATGACTAAAGTCTCTGTAGAAGGACGAAAGCGCTCACCTCTGTGGCAGGGTGAGCACTGTGCAGCAGAACATGAGAGGTGCAGTCCCTGGGGTGCCTCCACCGTGCTCTAGAGCGTATTGCATAACCTTCAGCATCTCCAAACCTTCTCGTTTCACATAGTGTACTGGGAGGTAGAGGAGTGGATTTTAAAACATTTCTCTTTTTTATTTTGGTTTCAGAATCAGATACTGAAAGAAAGTGGAAAACAGTTTTGTTACAGGGGCCTTTCTGCAGGGAGGGTTACAAATTGTGTCACTTACCAGCAAGTGAGTGACTCTTAGGATGACAGGTTTAATGAAAAGCTATTTTTAAGCAGTTTCCGGGAGATGTTTCTGGAAGAAAATGTATAGTCTGCTGCTCTAACCACAGTACGTGCTGCTGCTTTTGTAAGTCATTTTAACTTGGCTAAGAAGGGCAACAGCGTACCAGACGTGCTGTGGAGTCCCAGGGTTAGACAGCAGTAATGCAAAGCTACTCTCATCTCCTCCAGCAAACAAAAAGGAACAGCCAGTACAAAGACAACCCCTGCAAACTCAAATACCCGCAGCCTCAGTGGTGGAGCAGCTGCGCAGCATGATCCAGTTTGAGACAGTGGCAAACAGCAGGCTGCAACCATATCGTGACATGGGAATACAGCTGTCCTTGTGACCGATTCAATGACAGGAGCATCCCTTCTTCCTTTCTTCCCACCCTGCATCACTTGATAAGGGGAGACTTGCATTGTATTTCCAGGCTATGTGCAGTACCACAACTCACCCAGCTTTGCTGAAGTTGGAGTTAGTCCCAGTGCAGCATCTGAGGGAGCAGAGACAGCTGTTAAGGAGAAGGGGAGCTGGGCTGCAGTCCCATGAAGGTTCTCCCCATCATTTGTGGCAGGCCTGTCGTTTTCAAGAATACAGAGGATGATTACAAATCCTCACAATATAAAGGTTTCTGTTATTTATAAAAAGACCAAGGTCAGAGTTTAGCCACATCCAGCTGTGCTCAGGCATCAAGTGCAGAGGGGAAGCCTCCCTCTTTCAGCCACTTTGTAGCAATGATTTCCCTGCCCCAACTTTGTTGTATCTTGCTAATGGCAGGTTGTATGTACCTCTTGCATGTGCCCTCTAGCTTCTTCTTTAGGAGGTGGAAAGCGAATATTGAGTGTAATCCCACAGAAGTTAAAGGGAGAAAGGTTGCAGGTGTCATACACTTGGGCACACAGCTTACTGAGTATGACCTGGCATTTTATATGTGCTGCTTGAATTTCTGTTGTATTCAAGAATTAACCGTTTAGAATGAAGGCACTAAGACTTTTCAGACTTAACAGTGTCCATAGCTCCACTACAAAACTTAAAGTGGTCCTGAGATATTTTATAGGTAATTATCAGTATAAAAAGTGAAGCCCACAGTACATACAATAGCTTCTTACTCCAACTTTTAGGAGCCAGTAGACAAGACATTTGTCCCCCATCTTTGTCAGGGAAGCAGAGTACAGTAATGTGCATGCATGCAATGGAGCTTTTAAAACAAGCGGGTAGGTGGAAAGAACAAGGCATGCAACATATCCTGGTAAACAGTGCTGCCTGCATGCAGCACAGCTCCTCACCTTCCCAGTTCCAGAGTATGAGGGAAGTGTTAAAATTAACAACAAACTGCTAGCAGAATCATTTATTGCATTTAATTTACTACATTTAACAATAGACAAAAATACCAGCTAAACCCATTAAGTCAAATTCCCTGTAGGGCAAATCCATTCATAAATACAGTCCATTGTGCAGTGAAAGGGACTCTAGGTGGTCAAGTCCCCCTGAGATTATTGTACGGACGAGTTCTTCAGTCAGTTAACTCATACTTTCCTACCTCAGAGAGGGAATTCAGTAACCCTTTTTCCCTTTGTTATGAATTCTGCAGTCAGATCTGAAACACCATTTAGCTCTGATTTACAGTAAATGGCATATGCTACAAATCTAATACTATCAGACTAACGCAAGATTGCTGGAAATTCAGTAGAAGCTGCTGCTGGTATTTGGCTCTGTACTTACTGCTTTCAGAATTGAGGCTCAGGGAAGGGCTTTTACTAGTTGAGCAGTTCCCATTGGTCAATGGCAATTTCTTTTGTGGATAACCAGTATGTTGAATTGTATGAAACAGTTAAAAGAGCAGACCTTTTTATTATGTCCTTTGGCTGCCTGGAGGTTTAGGGCAGGCAGCTCACCTGTTAATAGTCAAGCTAGGATTTAGATGAGTGAACTGCTGTTCTTACCCCTTCTTACAAATGACGTATAGCTAGAACACAGGGCTAGTGACTGAGCAGCTGGTCATTCAGGTACCTTGAGGTGGCCACTCGTAGTCACTGAACTGCTAGGTCACTCCTGTAGCCTCATGAGCAGTGATTCAAGGGTTACAACTGCTGCTGTAACTGAAGCTACTCTGGCTGTGTGCAGAGGAGTTGTGCTAATTACCCCAGTCCCAAGAGCAGAGTGCATAGTTTCCCAGAGGCCATTGCCTAAAAATACAATAATACTAAGACAAGTTTGCCTACCAGCTGTGGGATTCAGATTGCACTCTTATTTTAGATAAAGGCTTTTATCATCCGGTCTACAACTGCAGCTGGAACAGAAGCCAGTTTTACAAACTCAAAACTGCAGCTAGTGGCGTTTAGCAGCTACAGGCATTCCTTTATAGATTTATTGCAGAGAACCTAAACGCTAGAGAGTTACCTTTTTTGCACAGTTTTTCAGGCGAGTTTTATCTGCAGCTACATGCAGAACTTGTCAAAGGTGGAGGCTTCCTTGGGAGCCCCCCAGTACTTTAATCACTGCTGATTTCAAGAGGACTTGAGGCTAGGCAGCATGACACAGGGTACTGGCTTAGATCCAAGTTGCCAGCAGTGACTGGAGGCCTGCTGCAGACTAGCTATTGAATTAGTGAAAAAAGGGCGTTCCTGGCAATACAAACAATATTGCCTCTCTGGGAAATAAAAGAAGCAGAAAGAAGTGGAGGGGCAGGACTGGAAGGGGAAGCTATACACGGCACACATCCTCTGCACTACATAGTCATATAGCTCACTCCATCCTGGCATCAGTCTGCTGGGAAGGCCACAGGAGGAACTGCAGGGGTCTGCAAAATCCTAGGTTTTGCCCCAGTTGCCTCTGGCAAGCTGCAGTACAGGCTTTCTTCTGAGGTACGGTTAGCCTCCTGCTCCCAGCATGACCACTCCTTGTGGACACTGAACGGGTTCCCTCCTATGTTAGTAGATACAATATAAGAAATCCAGAATCATATATCATCTGAGGTGCTTTGTTCGCTAATTTTGATTGTGCCAGTTCCATTTTAATTATTCATAGCCATATTAAATAATGCATGGAGGACTATCTCTTAAGATAATCTGCATAATCCAAGAAAGCCTTAGCCAGCAGGACAGCTTTCTAAGTTTTAGGCATTGCCTTTTTGTGGAGAACGGTGAGACTTTTAAAAATCAGGCCCCCGTAAAGATTACTAAAACTGGACTGGCATGCACTTTGTTCTTCTGTCAACTCTTCAAGATGCCTGTCTCCTTTTACAGGAAGATTGTGGACAGAATAGATGACAACAAAGATGGCTATCTCACAACAGAGGAATTGAAAAACTGGATTAAACGGGTACAGAAACGCTACATCTATGAAAACGTGGCCAAAGTTTGGAAAGATTATGATCTAAACAAGGACAATAAAATCTCCTGGGAAGAATACAAACAAGCCACGTATGGCTATTATCTAGGTAAGACAACATTTTCAGATTACATGCTAAAAGACGACTGAGGTTATAAGGCACAAAATCGGGCCTTATAGTCAGCAGGAGCTTGGTGTCACATTTAGGACTTGGAAAATCACATTAAATTTTATAGGCACTCAGAGGGCAAAAGCACTTCTGAGTTGTTCATTGCAGACATTTCCACATGGGTTACCCACAGACAAAGGGTTTGTAGAGTGATTGATTATTAGACGTACTGACAAAGCTGAAGTGAAGTTTCCTATTCCAGCTTAGAAATACAGTATTATTTTTTAACATTAAAAAATGCTACTTTCATTCAAAAATAATCTATAGCATGATTAACCAGTGTTTGTTCAACACACGCTCTCAAAATTTTAAGAGTTTAGTTACTAAAAATTTAGGCTGGGTCTAAGCTCTAGAAAAGTTACTGATTAAAATAGTTCTTGCAAAATGAAATGTTGCAGATAGTGATCAGCTGTAAATGCAAATCCTTAACAAATCAGGCAAAAGAAATAACTGTTTAAAAATATACCTAAATTAAATTATTCTTTTCATATATCTTCCCTTTGCTTTTTATAAGTTAATTAAGGGAAAGGAGGAGAAGAGATCATTTAAGCTAAAGGGCAATGCTGACAGAAGAACAAGTGGGTATTAACTGACCATGAGTACATTTATACTGTAAATGGGAAGACAGTTTCTAGCTACCATAGGGGCAGTTTCTGGAGCAAGTTTCCCATAGCAGTAAAAAGGACAAAGTCTACATTAGATTAAAATGGAGCTTATTACATTTATGAAAGGAATTAATTTACACATACCAGTTAATAACACATACCTGTAGCAGTATCCCTGGGAATCCTTTTCAGTACTGTGTCTTTGCTTTGTGTAATCCTCAAGATTTGGAGAACAGCTACCGCATTGTGATCTTGTGTTAATGCGCACTTAAAATTCACTGGCGATTCTTAGCCTAGACTTTTTCAAATCTGTTTGTTTCCTAAAATGTGAATTGAAAAATTGTTATAATATGAATGTTTTTCATGTTTGAAGTCAGTTTAGTGATCCTATTTTAAAAATTATATCAAATACCATTCCTTTCATGCCACTGAACACCCTGAAAAATCTCATTGTTTTAAGCCGAAAAGTAATTGTTAGGTTCCCCATAGTAGAGGTGTAGTAGTCAGGTAATTTCAGTCAGTTTGCCAGCTTCTGAAACCAGTCTTTGGTTTGCTTGCTTTTGAAACTGAAAGATTGCGTAGAACATAGTGATCCCTAAGAAGAATAAACCTTCTGTGAATGAAATCTACTCCAGATACTGCCTAAACAGCCCTTACAAAAGCAGATTAAGAAAAATTCTCTGAAAGATAATATACCATATTGCAAAATCCTTCATCCTGGATTCCAATAGAAGGCTCATTTGGCCACTTGCCTTAAAATCAAACCAACTGCTTGACCCCAAATTTAAAACTTCACAGGGAAGAGAAGTTCTGTTTTAACAGAGCAGCTAGTCTGGCAATAAGCTTTTGTATTTCTATACTCTACTGAGTATGCGTTAGCAAATTGGAGGGCTTCATTATTCAGTAGTATATTTTAGAAGGAACATAGTTTCAAGATTGTCTGATTAATTTGCAGAAAATCCAGAAGAATTCCAAGATGCAACTGATCAGCACAGTTTTAAAAAAATGCTGCCCAGAGACGAAAGACGGTTCAAAACTGCAGATCTGGATGGAGACTTAGCTGCCACTCGTGAAGAATTCACTGCCTTTCTTCACCCGGAGGAGTTTGAGCATATGAAAGACATTGTTGTCTTAGTAAGCAGACCAAAACAATGACATTCTTTTTGCTTTTACTTTTCAGATGAGCATTGAAATGCTTCTCTGATTTTTCCATGCTTGCTTTAGAAAGACAGACAGACAGACAGACACACACACACACACACACACAAAAGTAGCCAACTGGGGAACCAAAAGGGATGCCTTTCATGAAATTCACTTGATTTAGAGCTTTCAGTACAAGAAAGACTTGTTAAACGCACTTAGGCTGCTCCTAAATGGAACCAGAAACAGTCCTGGCACGGACTTGCACCAAAATAAAAGGAAGTGTATACTGACATGCATATAAGTTTGAGGTAAGCTTATATCTGCCCCTAAATGAAAACTTAGGCATGGTATCCAGTTCATTCATGTGTAGGGTTTTTTATGGAAGATTTCTATATTCCTTGTACAAACAACAATTGCACTGGAGTCAGCGAGCATAGGTCTCTCTGTGTACAAGGGCAGGGCCGGCCTCAAACGTGAAATGATCAGTGAGGAGAGCAGTCAGAACTCCCAGTTCTCTCTTGACTACTTCAGTGCAAAACTCTTTTCCAGGAAACCTTAGAGGACATAGACAAAAATGAGGATGGTTTTGTGGATCAAGATGAGTACATCGGTAAGTGTTGAGGTTTGTTTCTTGTTAAATCTCCAGTCAATTTGTCTGTCTTTTCCTCAAATCTGGATCAGTATTTACAACCCAAAGATTTATGTGCTCCAATTCAACTGTTTTCAACCAACCAACTAACCAACCAAAAAAGTCTAATTTAATTTTAGGTAGATAGCATCAACAGGAAAAGGTTCCTAGCATTTCCCAGCCTAAAGTTTCTCCTCTTACTCACTTACAACCTGGCTAACTAAGAGGGTCCGGAACGGTATTTTCCATGGCAGGAAACTACCTATGGCTGTTTTTGACAGGAAGACCTTGCTATTTCCAAAAAATAGGTTACAGAACGTAGAACAGATTTTTTTGAAATGATTTAGTACTTCCATGCTTTGAAGTGAGACCACAAAATTTGTAGTGGATTGTTATATCAGAATTGGCCTTTCCCAGTTTCTCTAAATATTTGACTAGCTTAACAGCTTTTGAAAGCATTATTCAGAAATGCAGGAAGATCAGAAAGTGAGTTAGTCTCTACCCAAGTTTGAACAGTGCTTAGCTATGCAAAATAGCTGGGAAGCATGCCTGACAAATTATGAACAATCACACCTTGCAACAGGTCTGCCTTAAAAAAAAAAAAAAAAGCCCTTTTCTACTAGTTATTTTCCAGGTTCAATTAATAGCTAAAAAAAAATTGCTTGTTTTTATGTGGCAAGGCCATTATGTTTCTTTTAGAAATACAAGAAGCTGCATTAAAAATGAACTATGTAAAAAGAACACTAAGATTTAAGGTTCTCAGAAAAAGTTGTGAAGTGCATGAAAGTTAGCTGTGCGTTACTCAAGTGGCAGAAAGAGAACAGAATGGGAAACATCAACATCAGATCACAGTTAATTTGCTCTAACTTCCATCGCGCTGGGCAGTTAGCAGTTAGCACTGGGCACTTAGACCTATGAGGACAAAATGGAAACATGACTAGAGATCAGCAGTACGTAGTACATTTTCCCATTTTGAATGATAATGCTGATACCAAAAGTTAACTTTTCCCACTGCACCCACTTTGATGGCTTTTTAATCAAGAAAGCAGCACCAGGAAAGCATTAGAGCAAACTCAAATGAATCTTTCTGTTTCTAGTGGTGCTATAAAGATCATTTCATGTATAATCAGGAACAATATACACATGTTAATTAATGGCAGGGGGTTTCTATTCCTTGTAAATTATATTTAGCCTCAGAATGTGAGTGCTATTCATTTATGACTGAAATAACAGAGCAGCATAATTTCCACAGTAATTTCAGTTCATTCAGTGACATTACCTACATATAATTATAAGGTAATTGTCAACATTTGTTACTATGTGAATGCTGTTTTTTTCTTGTCTTCTATAGATAGGAACATAGAATGTTCTAGTCACGATCACGCCACATTGGCAAGGATGATAAAAATCAAATTGACAGGACATGTCAGTTGCTTCAGATAAACAATATAATTCGCACCTTAAAAAACGAAAAAAGAAAGTGAATGTGTTGTCTGAAGTTTTCTTTATGAGTTGAGGAAAAACTGTGCTTAAAATATTTCTACTTCCCTTATTCAGATATAGTATTTTTTATTTTCTATCAAACTAGGGTTAAAAAGCAAGCACACAGAAAACCAAATCTCTTCTTTGGTATTTTGTAAGGACCAATAAAAGTGCAAAAATTCAGCCTCTGGATCAGGTCTTTGATGGGGAAATCTACTGGGCATTGTAAAAGAGGAGAAAGGAAGGAGGAGGGAGGAATCATTTTGATTATCACAAAATTTGGTTGATTTTTGCAAAGGCAAAGAACCAAAATATTCCCAGTCATGTTACACCTTTCAAGCAGAAAGAACTAAATTCTCACTGTGCATAAGCAGGTACAGTATATTTCAGGAACATTGTGGATGGACAGTTCTGCCAACGGGCTTCAGCCTAGCAAGTGCACGTGCTCCCACTGCGGGGTGGGGGGGAGGTTGTTCCTTAGTTTGAGACCAGCATCTATGCCTCCTACAGATACCTGCAGCCTGTCCCTGTGGAGTGCACTTTTCTGAGGCACCTCTTTGAAAACCAAACCCACAAAGGATAGGGGTAGCATCCACAGAGCAGGCTTTAATTATAATTAGAAAATGGAAGGCTTGAGGGATAACCAGCTCTGGTGAGCAGGAAGCAGTTATGAACAAACTTATGCTTCTGGAGGGATTTTTCCTACTACTACTATGTAAGGCCTATGCTATAAAGAACAGGTATCAAATCAATACCTGTTCTTCATAATCACCGCTATTCCCCGACCCGTTTAATTTGTTATATGGATAACAGCTGTCACAACCGTATTTTCCTACTGATGCTTTTTAAATATAGCACAGGACTGATGTACAGAGCAGCTCGCATACACAATCCATGCATCCTATGTCACAAACGGTACCGTAGCCCAAGGTCCCAAGCTGCGACAAGTGCACTGTGCGTGTTTCTCATACGCAGAATGCACTGCTGATGTATAACTTTTTCAAGTCTTTCCTTGTTCCGAATACCTTCTACTGGAGCATGCTGCAGTACTACATGGTTAAAAAGGACTTACCTACTAAGATGGATTTCTCTTACATAGACCTCTCTAAAAGCAGAACAAAAACATTCAAGTTCCATTGATCAGATTTTTTTTTTCTTAAATTGCCCCTATGCCTTTTATTCCCTTTACCGCTCTGCTAGCTAGAGCCTGCCTGATCTTATTTACAAAGACATTTGCTGGCAGGGACAAGATAAAATGGCCAAGCCCCTTTTTCCCCATATGACTGAGCCCAGCACTAAAGCTCCTGATTGCTATTTAAGAAAAGATCCTTACAGAACTTTTTTCACTCTGAAATTCTGTGAATAAAGGCTTTGGACTGGTTCGCCTCTCCTGTGTATCTAGATTAGCTTCACCAGCAGTACACTGTTACGGTGTAAGGATAATTTAAGAATGGCTAGAACCACCTGCAGTGAAGAAATAGGCCTGGAGAGAAGATATGCACAGCTACTCCAATTACACCCCACGTTTCATTTTCTGTACAAGGAAACTCAGTGCAGAGAGTGAAAGTTTAGTCTTACTCTGAGGAACGTTGTATAAATGTCTTTAGTTCTGCATAGTTTGCAAACCACATATGACTTGAGTGAGACTTCTATTTCCTCTCCAGCCGATATGTTTGCAAATGAAGAGGGTGGACCAGAGCCTGACTGGGTGATTACAGAGCGTGAACAGTTTTCTGATTTTCGTGACCTCAACAAGGATGGAAAGATGGACAAAGAGGAGATTCGACACTGGATTCTCCCACAAGACTATGATCATGCACTAGCTGAAGCCAGGCACTTAGTCTATGAATCGGACGTAGACAAGGTACTTAGTGCTTTGGTATATTTAAAAAAGGATGTTAGCTTAAATATTTAATTGTTTTCTTTTGCATAATATCAACTAGCAAGTGATGATTCCTAATGACTTTTCTTACTAGTACACTTTAAATGGAGTTTTAAAGGCTGTAAGTGCTAGAGCCTTAAAGTATCAATGCAATTTTTAGTAGGTATGGTTACAAAGTATACTTGGTAAAATGCAATTTGTTACCAGCTGTAGAAGTCCCATTGGCTTTCCTTAGGTCAGAAATCAAAATTCTTTATCTTCATACACTTTCAAGTTTTAACATAGTAAAAATACTCTTTCTTCTTTTAAGAGGAGTCAGGGATCTTTATATGTTAATTTAGACTGCAAGGGAAAAATAAGACACACATTAAATTGGAGGTAGTAAAAAGCCCCAAACTATATCATCAAACACACACATCTTTCTCTTAAAGACTGGTCCAGTATACCTGCTTCCTCTAAAATGGGAGATCAATGGTTCGGCAAATCCCAGACGGTGATCTTCGGAAGTGTAATATGAGCAGAGCTGGAGCCTGAAAAACTGAAGTGACCTTACGCAGAGAGACTTAAATTTGCCAGCATAAGTGACCATCTTCAACAAAAGACACCAGAGGATTTTCATTTTCACAGTTAGAAAGGCAAAATAAAACCACAGGCAAAACTGCATACCAGATAACTCATATATTCTGTTTGGCAGTGAGTTAACTGTAAAGCATTTTTAATTAACAGTTAAAGCCAACTGAAACCACTGGAACTTCTGACTTCTACTGGAGTCCAGATTTCATTCATCATGACAGCTGCAGTGATTCCTGAATCTGCAGCTTGCCCCTTTGAAGAACTTGCTATTTGTCATGTCTCTTGTAAGTCTATGCTGGTGTGTCTTTTACTTAGCCTTGAAAAAGTTCTTAAAGCAATTTTGTTTTCTTCCCACCAGGATCAAAAGCTAACAAAAGAGGAGGTTCTAGACAACTGGAATATGTTTGTTGGCAGTCAAGCTACTAATTATGGGGAGGACCTCACAAGAAACCACGATGAGCTATGATACAGTGTACAAAGCAGTATGCCACAGACCTTTTCTCCACATTACGGAAGTCACCATGTCCATCCCCTCTTTTGGGGTGGACAAGGGATACCCTCACAATTGAACTGACTTATAGCAATATATATTTTAACATACCAGCTTATTACCTCGGAAACTGCACAGAAATAGCCTTTTACTCTTTTCACACTGTTAAACACTGTATCTTATTACTAGAGTTCTTTTTTTTGGGGGGGGGGGGGGGGGAAGGAGGGTAACTTTCCTTGAACATATCCCTGAACTGGGAATGCATTTCTAAAACATAATTCTGAAGATCTTTAGTAGTGAAATATTTTCTTCAAATGCCCATTTTATCATAGTGAAATACAGCTAGGATTAGAAAGAAACTTAATGTTTAAACAGACTAATTTGTTTAGTCATCTTTCTTTAATAGCATATAACAATTGAGAATTATAGTTTCACCCTCTTATATAAAGACTTGGTACCACAAGATCCACAGCCTTTTTCCCCACACTGCATTTTTCTTTCTTAGTTTGGGCCAGAGGTGATGAAGAAGGGATCCAGCAGCCCTGTGGCTCATAGCTTTACAAGTACAACACGTACAACTGGCCCTCCTCTCTAACCCCATCACGATGCAGAGACAGCACGTGTGGCCTGACAGCCTGTGCCAGCATTCCTTAGTGAGAAGCGTAGAGTTCATAGTGACAGCTACTCCTTCGAACAACAGAATAATGTACAATTGTTTGTGGGCTGTTGGTTATGCTGTTTCCTGGGAGGAATTATGCCACATGGAGCATAATTTATCTCATGCTTTTCACACTTTACCCAGGCCATACTCTTATTCACACAGTGTGAATGGCAGCAGTTCTGTGATGGAGAAAGAATGAGACGTATCATTCCTCTGGGCCTTCTGTCTTCCAAGCCACATAAGGGGACAGATTCATGTGGCTAAAGTTCTGCTTTTGTATGTATATGTGTTATTGAAGCAACTGTATGGAGACAGCTTTCCTTCCAAAGGAAAGGGTAAGCTTTTCTTTTTCCAGACAGGTGCATTCTTTTTTTTTTTTTTTTTTTTAAACTGTATAATGTGAGCTGTTACATGTATATTTTTTATATAAACAACCTAGAAAAGTTTGGTTGTTTTTACATGTACTGGTTTTAAAATAAGCACAATAAAACCATTACTTCCTTTTTGATACTATGAAGGTGCAATAACACTAATACAGGCTAGCATAGAGAGATGCAGTGAAAGCAGAAACCAGATCTTTAAAGCCAGAAGTTCCAAAAGCACCGGATCACTGGCAGGTCCTGTAGCGCTGGCTGGTTGTCTAGAAACAGCAGCTAGTCATATGGCACCAACTGTTTCTTCCTGCTTTGCTTCATCCAAAAAAAAACCCCAAACCCAACCAAAAACAAACCCTAGAAAGAAGTCCAACGTACACAGTTGCTATCACTGTCACTAGAATCTGTTTGCAACGCTAACATTAGGATGTTTGGTCTGCAGGGTGTTACGGGCAGCAGGGGGAAGTCCACAAAACACTTGACTTTTAGGTACCTTGAAGACTTCCTGTACAGCATGATACACCAGCGATCACAGAGCCATTCAGAGAGAAGAGCTTTGTGACTCTGTGATTGTGATGTACTTCTGGCAAATTTGGGGAAATCACCATGAGACAATGCAGAACTGTGACCTCCATAAACAGTGTCATTTTTATAAGGTCACATAAGAACTATTTTCAAATACTTCTTTCAGTTGAAAATAATCTAAACTGTAGATCATACTGTCTGGCAGAGATTACATCTTGCTAGCACGATTATTAAGCTTTTGGTGTGCACTTCTTATGACATTGCCAGCAATGTCTTCTAAAAGTCCCTACCTCCTCCACTAACATACAGTAGGACAAATGTCATAAGCCATAAGCAAACTGCTTTTGCTCTTCCAATACCCTCAAGTCAAAGTAATGCTTAAATGTAGTGTTATCTGAAAAGCAATAAAATTCTATCTTGGCACATGCAAAACATTCTCTGTTTAGTTTACTATTTGGAAAGATTTACTGTATTCAATAATCTTAATGTAATTTGAAGGGTTTTTTTTTTTTTTTAAACTATTTCTTTCATACTAACATTTGAGAATTTTATACTTTGGGGACAGAATTGCCATGTTCTCTCTGCAGTTAGATTATCTTCTGAGGTCTTTTAAGGTATTGATTCCTGAAACAGCAGAACAAAGCTTGCTTCCTGCAAGTGAAATGCAGCTCACACAGGATGCTAAGCCAAAGATTTTCATTGGAGCCCAAGGGAAGGTTGTTTTGCTAACTCTCGTTGAAATTCAGTGGGAGTTGGGTGCTGAGACACTAAGCATTGCTGCCTTCAGCTAAACATGACACTTCCAAATCCACTGCGTTCTGTCCCAACAAAAAACGGCATCTGAGCTTTGACAAGCAATCGTTTTCTTCCATGTTACTCAATGAATCTGGAACAGAATTAGTGTCAAATGAGAGAAATCATGGTCCACTATTAGATCTCAATTTATTATATGCTTGCAACACATTGAGCATTTTCCAGTATAAAACTATACTTATATGAGTAACACTGCTGAAATCAGGAGCTACTCATGCAAATAGGAAATGGAAATTTAGACCCACGATATTTTAATTTCTTTTTTTCACAACAATAATGATACTCAGCTAGACTTTGCTATGCCCAGCTATGAAAAAGACAAACTGACAATTAACATGAGACTTAAAATAATCAAATTATCAACCAGTCTCAGTGTAATGGGGTCACATTAAGAACTTTTTTATAAAGCAAAATATAAAAACATTATTTAGAGAACATGAGTTACCATGGATTTCATTTTACTCTAAAGGCAATCTTTCCTCTTCTTGCCACAATGGTTTACTTGGTGTTTCACTTACCAACATTCGGTAATGCACAGTACATTTTGTGCACTAAATTCTCCTTTCAAGCTCAATGCACTAAGGAAGAGTAACTCCAAAAGAGACTAGAGCTTCTGGGTTTAAATTTAACACTATTTAAGGAAAGCAAACCTTTGCTAGGGGATATAACTGTTAACATTGTGATTTTTCAAGCCTAAGGTTTCTAATGGGGTTTGACTGTTCCAGAGAGAACATTTTTTTTCCTAGGTAACATATTTCAAGTCATATTATGAGCAAATGCGACAAAATTTTAGTGTAATGTGAAATACTGTAATGTCAGATAGTATTATTTATCTGCTTAATATGACTAAAACCATTAATTGCTGGGAGCCATAATTCATCCTAGCAACATGAAAATCCATTTTGTGCCTATCTTGTCAGTTGTTTCCAATTTTCTTAATGAATTGTGATGTAGTGAAATTCTGTTGGGGAACATGTTTATATATTTCCAAATGCAGGTTCTGTGTGGTCACTCTTATTACACAGATCCTCCATTAACTACATGTTTTCATTATGCCTATGCCACAACATATCAACGGTGCATTTTTCTTTACTTAGGTATCTGGAATAGCCATTATTATTGCACATGCAGTTTTAATTATTAGAATTTTTGAAATGAGCTAAGTGGCTAATGTTCATTGTCTTGTATTTCCATTTAATGATTCAATCAGGTTAAATCCGTCTCCTATTCCAATCAAGATACTGTACCTAACTCCCTGAGGAAAGGAAAATGCAGCTCGTCCTGATCTAATTACATTTACACAAGTGTATTAAAATAGTTGCATAATGCTTTACTATTTGAAATATGGAAGCTGTTCTTGATCCTAGTGAAGTTAATAGCAGAACACCTAGTCACTACATAGAAGGAGCAAGGCCACAGCCATCCAAGAACAAGCTGAAGAACAATAAGACAGTGGGCCTTGAGGTCAGAAATAAAGTTATGACCATAAGGTCCTGATTCTGATCTCCTTATTACTACTTAACAGTAACTTTTGGGAGTTTTATCCTAATTCTTACTCATGTAAGATCATATTTAGGGCCTAAGTCTATTTCAAGGAAGAGAGTGTCTAACGCTCTACTTAGCCATTTTACTGTGTGATGATTGTGTCATTTCTAGACAGCAAGTTACCATCAGCAAATGTGACCAGCAAAATAAAACCAGGCAAGTAAACTGTTACAGGGTGGCAGAAGGGGCCAAGGAAAACATTTCAGAGCCAAAGATGTTGCAAAACCTGGTATGGCTTGTACTCAAACACTTGGAAGTGTCCACCAATAATAAGCAATATCCTCTTTTTTCATCACTCTAATTCAATGTGTGCTATATTACAGTTAATATGCGCAGAAAGATGCTGGTTAACCAAAGTTGCTAATTACAAGGGAAGAATTTAGGATTATTTTCCACTGAAGTTTCAGGCACATGTGGGACCACTGTCCTTCAAACCCAGGGGCGGATAAAATATTCCAATCATGAAATTTAAAGCAACCTCAAAGGAAACAGGTACTAGCTTTCCCATAGTGCAAAACAACGTACGAGGGACATACAGGCATATGTGACAGCACAGGCACTTTCACACCTGCATTCTGTCTCTCCACAGGAGGAGGTAAGATCTCTCCAACATATGAGAGTGTTTCCTCTTAGGCCAGTCACAAGAATAAAACTACCAGTAGCAGCACATTTGTTACTATTCCTGCCTCTTGTTAGGGCAGCAGAGTTCTGGAGTTCAGTTGCACGTTCTGCACACTTGTCATTTTCCTTGCCCAAACTCGCCTCAGTAGTCAGGTTTTCAGAAAATCCTGAAAACCGTATATACCAGTGGAAGAATTTATTTCAAAACCATAAAGTTGAATAGTTCTACTGTGATTTATATAGCTAGCATTTGCAGTTTTAGCATTTGCTTACATGTTTCATAGTTGGCCTCACGTTTTGTGGTGTCTGAAATCACCAAATATCTGAAGTTCCAGGAAAGCTATACAGAACAAGTCATAGCATGATATTGAATCTGAATAGTAATTAATGGTGACACATATATTAGAAATGACAATGTTTCATCTTATCAACAAAAATTTAGATACGCATCAAAAAGCTTTCACAAATTAAGTGGAAAATCATTTCTTTATATGACAACTTTAAAATTAAAGCCTATCGAACCAATAGGGATACAAAAACCTAGTGAAAAATTAATACAGCTTTTGAAGACATACCTTGAAATCCTCAGTAACGCTCCTTGGTGCTTTTGTGGCTGATGTTACAAAACTGAGTTGATAATCCCATGTACGTAGCTAGCGTGCGCTAAATTCTCAAACAGCTCTAATACAGGACTGCCCAAGAAACAGCCATCACTGAGCGTGCTGTATCGGCACCCAACAAGACTCTTGCTGAGGTTTAGGAAAAAATAATTGGCTGCTCTGATGTGTGCTATCTTCTCCACTCCTAAGGAGAATGTTGGATGCTGAGGAAACATGATAGGTGCATGATGTGAAGCCTGAGTGGTCACCATGAATCCCACCATTGACAAAGTTAACAAATTGGTATCAAGTCCACAATACCTAGGAAAGAAAAAAAAAATCATTCTAATTGTAAATTACTAAACTCCCAGAGCACGGTATTCTTAGGACTGGCATATCTTTTGTTTGGGTAAAAGTCAGCGAATTTCATGTTTCAGGGAGAAAAAAATTGGAGTTTTAGCATTAGATCAACTGTAAGATAACACAGACACAACAAGAAAGTATTGACGGAATTGATAAGTTGGACAACCCCCCCCCCTCCACTACCCCCAACCCACCTCTCCCCCCACTTTACATTCAGCTAAATTGCAGTTCTGCTGACATTGCTTTTGTTGCATCTCACTGGGCCCTGATTGCTGGGACACAGAAAAAGAAAGGAATGCTAGTTGAGTTCCTCCCCCTCTACTCAGCCCTGGTGAGGCCACACCTGGAGTACTGTGCCCATTTCTGGGCTCCCCAGAACAAGAAAGACTTGGCCCTACTGGAGAGAGTCAAGCGGAGGGCCACAAAGATGATGAGGGGACTGGAGCATCTCTCCCCTGAAGAAAGGCTGAGGGAGCTGGGCCTGTTCAGCCTGGAGAAGAGAGGCGATCTCCTCAATGTGTACAAGTATCTGAAAGGAGGGTGTCAAGAGGATCAGACTCTTCTCGCTGGCACCCAGCGACAGGACAAGAGGCAACGGGCGCAAACTGCAACACAGGAAGTTCTGTCTGAACGTGAGGAAAAACTCCTCTTCTGTGAGGGTGACTAAGCCCGGGAACAGGTTGCCCAGAGAGGTTGGTTGTGGAGTCTCCTTCCCTGGAGATACTGAAAAGCCACCTGGACACAATCCTGGGCAACGTGCTCTAGAGGACCCTGCTTGAGCAGGGGGGGGTTGGACTAGATGATCTCCAGAGGTCCCTTCCAATCTCACCCATTCTGTGATTCTGTGAGAAACACAAAAGAATTCATATAGCTAAAATTTTTTGAAAGCTTCATTTGATAACCAGTAATATATACTAAACACTTTAAAATCACAGGGAGAATTTTGTAAAGGGGTTACAATTGCATTCCATGGGCAGTAGAAATTAAGGAAAGAAGTGACTGGAGATATCTATAATCTAAGAAAAGTTAAAACTGCTCCTCTCCATCCCTACTCTCCATTTAGGATCAATTCCAATTTGCATCAATTCCTTCCTTATTCCATTGCCCAAGTCTCACTATTCTTTTTTCTTTGTCCTCAAATTTTAGTCTTTGCTAATAGCTCAGAAATTACATTTTTGGGAACCCCAAAACTCCCAGTCACTGATAACTTTGAAATGCTTCACACCAAAGAAAGGAAGTTTTCATAACCATTACGTCTGTTCTGAACTGGCTACAGCAAAGTATATTTAAACAAAGAAACCAAATGGAAGAGAATAAAAATAGCATCATTCTGTTCTTCCCACTGATATTCATAAACAAGAAGATGCATAACCTGGAATATGCAGGTTTATAGTTATACTTGCACTATCATCTTATAAAGCAAATGTTTCTTGCATGAGCATTTCATCGATGCAGTTGTGTGACCATTACAATTCTAG